TGATTGATCCCTTTCCAAAGAAGTATTCAGGTATTTGTCTTCAGTCTCATTAATTCTGTCTTCCATTGCATCAATTCTGCTCCTTTGCCCTTCCAATGTGTTATCTATTTCTGACAATTTAGCATTACTCTTCTGTATTTCTATCTGTAGATTTAGAATCATTTCTAATTTTTCATTTATTTAGTCATTTTATTCTTGTATTTTCTTCCAAAATTCTTCTAGGTTTTTTTCTGTGTTTTCTTTGGTCTGTCTCTCAAGATACCTAAATATAATTCTTTTGAATTCCTTATCAGAGAGTTCCAATGCTGCTTCTTCTGCAGGGATGTGTTCTGGATCTGTATCCTGTTCTCTTGTTTCTACCACTTTATCTTGCTTCTTTGTGTGGACTGTGACAGTCTGTTGCCTCTGAGACACTGTGGCGTTGTTGTATTAAGATCTCTGTTAACTGTTTGTGAAGAGCAGTCAAGGGTGATTCAGGCTCTTCCTGGTGGGTTTTTTTTTTTATCATTGGCCCGTTGGTGGAGAAGGAGGTGGTGGCTCTCGGTCAGTAAGTGAAGTTGCAGGAGGTGTGGGTATAGTTGTGTTTTATGGGGATTGTTGCTGCCTCCCACTCAATTAGAGAAAAATTACAACTGAATAACCATCAAAAAACTAAAAGCACATGGACAAAAAATACACCATGTAATCACACAGGAACAGTAACCAAAAAAAAAAAAAAAGAAAAAGAAAAGAAAAAGAAAAAAGAGAAGAAAAAAGGGCAAAAGAAGAAGAAAAAAACAAGAAAACTTACAATATCTGGGTATAGGGCAATAAGAGAAAAAATGTAGAGAAGGAGAATAATGAAGGGAAAAAAATGGGAAAAATGCAAAAAGAAAAACAAGGAACGGGGTTAACCATGAGAAAAAAAAAGAAAAAAGAAAAAAAAAAATGCAACAGTGAACAGGGTAAAGAAAAAGAGCTGAGAAGTAGGACCTGGGAGGGGAAGAATAAGGAATAATAATAAAAAGGACAAATGTATTAATAATAATAGTAGTTTTAAAACAGACAAAAACAAGCACACTAAAAACCAGAAATAAAAAAAGAAAAAAATTGGAGGAGGAGAGGGCAGTCTCTGCCTAAGCATACAGACTGGGATGGAGTTCCCATGGACCCAGAAGGTGGGTGGGAGTGGGGGATGGCCACACCTCCGTTCACCAAGGGGTGTGGGATATAAGAGTAACAAGGGGAATGTCGCACCTTTTCAGTCGTCCAGGTCCGGAGTGTCCTTGGGATTACTGGCTAGCAGAACCTGCTCTTAAGGCCCTGGAATCTTGGAGAGCACTGTCTCTTTAAATATCCAAAATGGTCAAGCCGCTTGTAAACATTCAAAATGGCGGCATCCTCTGAACAGGCAAAAGTGCACAGCTCAGTCCACCTTTCTCGTGACTGGTACTTTGCGTTTTATTCCCCAGCCACCAGAGCAGTCCTCAGTGCAGTCCCTGGCTAGCAGGGCTGATTTTTAGGTTAATTCTTAGATCCTACCACCACTCGGCAATATCCAAGCTGTCTGTGCTGTGCTGTCAGGCTTGCTCAGGATTGCTGCCAGACCGCAGCTCTGTCTGTCTCCTTTTTTGGTATTTTCATGCAAATTCTTCTGCTAGTTGGGGTTTAGTCCACTTCTATATCCTTCCCTTCAAGGCTCAGGGGTCCAGGATATCTTCTGTGTCTGTGTTAACTGCTTCCCCTTTTCTTTGTTGAAGAGGGTCTGTGAAGTCTTTCTCCCTATTCCACCATCTTACTGGAAGTCTCCAAGTAAACATCTTTCTGGTATCATTTGCTTTCAGCCAAGAGCTCTGGTAGCATAGTGGCTAAGACACTTGCCTGCTAACCAGACGGCTGGCGGTTCAAACCCACCAGCCACTCCTCGGAAGGAAGGTTGGGCAATCCTACTTCCGTAGTGATACTGCCTCGGAAACCCAAGGAGGGGTCGCTATGAGTCAGGTTTGACTCGACGGCACATAACAACAACAACAACAACAAGATCTATCTGACATCAGCAATGATAGCCCTCATTCCACGTCCTCTTCTGAATCTAGCTTGCATTTCTGGAAGTTCCCTGTCAATATACTGCGGCTTTGAAGTCACACCATGTTCAAGTAGCCCATAACCATTTCTCACTGTTACCAAACCACAGAGGTCCCACGGCCCCTCCGTCCTCTACAGCCACTACACCCACCAAGACCACTCTTTTAACGTTTCCCTTCTTGATGACCGCCCTTGTGAAGTGCTATTTTTCCAGGAGAGGTGAAGAAGGAAAAGGAGTTGGGACAAGATAAATGGGACTTCTCTTGCACCCCTCCCAGTTAGAGCCTCTTGACAGGGAAACATTACAATGGCTATAGGGAGTCCTCGTGGTGCAGTGGTTATGTGCTCGGCTGCTAATGGAAAGGCTGGCAGTTTGAACCTACAACTGGCCAGTTAAAGATTTTAGGAAAAAAGGCTATTTTTAGTCCAAGGGAAGCAAATAAAATTCTTAAAGTTCTAGATTCTGTTAAGAGGAAACAAACATTTTTCCACTCACAGACTCCATTTTCTAAGAGACTGAACGGCCAGTTTCCTCACTGATAAACGTCAATGGTAAACATGGAGAGGACCGCTGATGTGCCAGGACAGCGTTGAGCGTGTTGGTTAGATGTCGGCCAGCAGTAAAGCCGGCTCTGCTCACTCTGCTTCTCAGGACGTTGTTGACGCATCTGTATGCCCGATGAAGAAAACACACCTGGTCCCTGAAGAATGCGTCTAAGACCTTCAGTCCACAATCCCTTTGGCCCTCTTCGTCAGTCACTTCATATTCTGCCTGACAGGAGACGGGAGAAAAGAAAACTGTCAGGAGTCTCCTTCCCGCCTTCCTGACGTTTATGTCCTCGGCCTTCCCACACCAGCCCGCAGCACCTCACTGTCTGTCACGCAGCGAGGGCTCCTGGAGGTTACACAGTGCTCCACACGCTTCCCACAATCCCCTGTGCCGTGCTCTGTTCTCAGCCAATAAACGTGGCTGCGAAACAGAACAATCTGCACTTTGCGTTATTCTGAGGCACTGCCGTTTTAGAGACGTGCCTAAGACCTTCATTGGCGTTTCCTTTGATCTTTCAAGACTCGTTTTATTAGTGGGAAATGTTGTGAGAGCTCACGGGGGAGGTTAAGGCGGTATTTTCTGGTGCCATCATGTGAACTAGCATGGGTCCTGAGAAAGCCAGTGAAAAGGGCGGGAGGTCTTTTCTCCTCTACAACCCAGTGACCTCACTTCTTCATCTGTCTGTCCCCACTGCAGGGGCCCCTTCTGTCTGTTAACCTACAGAACCCAGAGGATGGGGAACACTTCAAACAAGCCTGCCTTTTTAGTGCCTCAGGGAGAAGATGTCCAGCACTTCCTAGCTGCTCAACTAACAAAGGAATGACAGCTAACAGTGAAAAGACCACAACCTGTCAGAATGCAGTAATGGGCCTTTGGGTCCCCTACAAGTCTCAAGCCTGCCTGACCTCACTGTCACACATACACACACAAGCTCACTAGCTACACTGCACAACAAGCCACACCTACCTTTTTAATACCTCTTTGATTTAACATGGAGCCCCTGGGTGGGACACTAACCACAGGGTTGGCAGTTCATATCCGCCCAGAGCCACCAGGAGACACAGACCTGGCCATCTAGTTCTGAAAGGCCATGGCCACTGACTACCCTAGGAGTGCAAGTCCACTCCGAGCCACACGGGGTTGCCATCCGTCAGAATCGGCTCAGTGACAACTGGCCCGGCTGTTTTGGGATCTTAATATAATGCACTGTGTCATCAGATAAACCCAAACTTGAATGCACAATGAGGACAATTCCACCTGCACAAGACGTGAAGATACAAAACCAGGGTTACACACCCCCAGCAGTTTGGCACGTTTATAAACCGGACCATGGGAAACACTCCAGAGGTTGCGGTACGAGGTCCCCTCAGAGGCTCACCAACAGAGAGGCACCACACTCCAGCCTTCACTGCACTTCTCCTTGGCTCTTAAGTGATCGTTGAAAGGAAGCTATTCCTGGTTAAAAAAAAAAACAAAAAACAAGCAAGCCCACCCTGACCCTATATTCTACTCTCACCACTATATGATCTCCTGGGACCTCATGCCCAAGGACAGTTCTCAGACTTGTCTATTCTGTATCTATACTTCCTCTCTTTCTGCTTACTCCTCAACTTACCACCATCAAAGGAGTTCTGGTAGTGTCGTGGGTAAGGCATTTGGCTGCTAACCAGAAGGTCAGTGGTCCAAGTCCACCAGCTGCTCTGCAGAAGGAAGATGGGGTGACCTACTTCTGTAATGATATATAGTTTCAGAAACCCATTGCGGGTCACTATGAGTCAGAACTGACCTGATGGCACTGAGTGTGGTTTTGGTTTAATGCGATGTAATTCTTAGGGAGACGACTGGAGAGTCCTTGGTCACAGAAGCAGATGCACTCATTCGCTGAGAAAGAAGTCCGCAGAAATGAATGTGCTCTGTACACTTCCACCCAAATCACAATAAAAAGTAAAAAAAAAAGAAAGAAGCCCCCAGCAAAGTATGGTCACTTCTTAGCCACAACCAAACACCTCAAGGAGCAGCTGGCTGAGCCCATGGGCTCAGGACCATGGCCATGGGGAACAGTAAGTTCAACTGGTTTAACACACTACACAAAAACACTGCTCTACATCCTACTTTGGTGAGTAGCAACTAGGGTCTTAAAAGCTTGCAAGCAGCCATCTAAGATACAACTATTGATCTCTCCTCTCCAGTGCAAAGAATAGTGAAGAAAATCAAAGACACATGGAAACAATTAGGCCAAGGGACTAGTGTACCATGGGAACCTCAGCCTACATAACCCTGAGACTAGAAGAACTAGATGGTAACCAGCTACCACTGTCAACTGCTCAGAAAGGGATCAAAATAGGAGATCAGGATAGAGTGGGAGAACAATGTAGAACAAAACTCAAAATCATAAAAAAGACTAGGCTGACTGGTCTGATAGAGCCTGGTGAAACTCCTGAGCCTATGGCCCCTAGTCACCTCTCAGCCTGGAAGTAAACTCATTCCCATCGCGTAGCCTTCAGCCAAACAACAGACAGAGCTACATGGTGAACAATTACACCAGGTGACTACACTCCCTGGAACCATCAACCGTGTGAAATCAGAAGGCAGTGTTTGCACAGGGAGACAGCTTAGAGGGCAGGAATGCATAAGGAAGAAGGACACAGGGACAAGGTAACTACAGGGAGTAAGTGGGAAGAGAGCTGTTACATTATGGGGATTGCAATCAATGTCATGAAATAAAATGCTTATGAACTGTTGAATGGAAAACCAATCTGCTCTGTAAACTTTGTTCCAAATCACAAGAAAAAGTTAACTAACTAAACAGGTAACTAATTAACTAAGTAACTGAACAAGGAGCCCCCGGGGCTCTCTCCCGCTACTGCAAGCTGAGTGCCATGGCCCTCGATGACCGAAGGAGATGTTCTTGGCAAAGTCTCCAGCTGTGTGTCTGGAGCCCTTGCCCACTGGCTGTGTCAGGAGTTTACAGGCACACTCACTCACTGTAGTGAGACATAAGGAAAAAAGAAATCATTGCAAACAATGATAAAAAATCCTTTTGGCAAAACATTTTTATAGGAAAATCATCTTATTGAAAAGTAACTATGGTCTTAACTAATCTTGCACCTTCGAATCCACGGACACGGTATGTCCTATTGATTTCGGTTTCTTTTGATTTCATTTTATAGTTTTCTGTGTACAAGTCTTTAACCCTCCTGGTTTAATTTGTTCCAGGTATCTTATCCTTTTAGATGCTACTGTAAATGGTAATGTGTTCTTTTCTGTTTGTTCATTGCTGACGCCTAGAAATCCAACTAGTTTCTGTGCGTTGACTGTGTACCCTGCCACCTTGCTGAATTCATGGATGAGTTCTAATAGTTTGAATGGATACCTTTCATTTTCAGGTGAAGCCCTGGAGGTCATCACTACACCAAACCTCTACACAAACCTTGGCTGCCCCATGTACTACAGCCTCCATCACTCCTTAAAGCTATACCACCAGGTGCTGCCCAAATCTGCCCAGCAGACCACCTATCTGCTCTACCACTTCTACCTGAGAATGGATGCCTACTGGCCCATTCACTCTTTAACTCAACTCTTCCTGTATCAGGGTACTGTCCACGGTGCACTGTGAGGTGGCAGCCACTCAGGTCTTCCCGTATCAGGGTATTGTCCATGGTGCGCTGTGAGGTGGCAGGGTCTCAGGTCTTTCCGTATCAGGGTATTGTCCACGATGCGCTGTGAGATGGCAGGGTCTCAGGTCTTCCCATATCAGGGTATGTCTACTGTGCAGTGTGAGGTGGTAGGGTCTCAGGTCTTCCATATCAAGGTATTGCCTGTGATGCACTGTGAGGTGGCAGGGTGAAGAAGAGATGACGAGGCCATGGCTGGGCCTTAAAGTGTGTGTGAAATAAACACATACTGCAGGCCCGTTTTGTATCAGGCACAATGATTGGTGCGGAGCGTACAGTCATACCAAGCACTAAAAAAGAATTCAAATGCCACAAGAGTGGTCGACATCATGTGATGAGAAATTAGAAGGAGAAGCTGGAGGTTGTCCTCAGGGTGTTGGTGGAAGGAGGAGTGAGGAGGTCTGCACAGAAGTCAAGATGCTCAAGCCAACACTTCTTTGAAAGCTAAACCCCACAGGATCAGCAGGAACTGGCCAGGCAAACAGAAAGTACCAGGTAAGGGGTGGATGACAGCCAGCCTCCAGGTTCCTAGCTTAGGTGTTCAGGTAGAAGATGACTGATGACTGATGAAATGCGGCAAGAAACACTATGGTTAGGACTGCTCTGGACAGAGACTTGGCCACTGAGAGACAGAATTGCCATGAACGACCCATGTGGAAATGGGCAAGTGGCACGTGGAATCTGAATGCAGAGCTTACAAGGAAAGTCTCACAAGGACTTAAAGACTTACAAGGAAAGTCACCGTCCAGACGGAAAGACACCATGAAATGGACGAACTCATACAGGGCTGAGAGGAGAGGAAGGGTTGGGGACAGAGAGGGTAGGCAGCACGGAAGGGGAGGGGAGAGAACGGGAGGGGTGGGAGCGGGAGGGGAGGGAGGGGAGGGAAGAGTCGAGCACGTGCCTCAGGTGACGCCACTGGGGTTTGGAGCTGGGGCACCGGAAGAGCAGGGAAACCCGCAGCCAGAGGGCCGCTGAAGGGAGAAGTGAAGAAACGGAGACCGAAGGCAGCTGGCAGACTGACCGCACCAAAGGGGCTCGGAGATAAAGCCAAGCTCACATCCCAGCCTGTGCCCTTCACAGGCTCGATGCAGGGCTGAGACGTCAGGCCGCCGATCTGCTCAGAACGATTTCCCCCGCGACGTTCAAAGGCAGCCAGCACGCTGCTCACTAAGAGCCCTCAAAGCCAGCTTCTGGGATTTCTGGACACAGTACACGGAAGTGAGAGCAGCCTGAGGCGCTGGGGGCTTGGCTTTCTCTCTTTCTCAACGGCTGCAGAAAACATCCGGAACACAACACTCGACGATTCAGCACTTTTTACACGTACGACGCAGTGGCCAGTTACGTTCCTCCCGCACAACCATCCCCAGCGCCAGCCACCACGTTTCCATCGAGTTACGGTTCTGGAAGCGCTGTTCAGTCCAATACTTACCCAGGTGTTGAAGGTACTTTGTAGATGGGAGCAAAGTCCAGGAGCAGCTACTTTTGCAAAGGGAGCTTATCCCAGGTGATCTAGGTGGGCCTGACTCAGTGAGCCGAGAGGCTGCGAGCAGAGGGAGGCTGCCCTAAGGAAGAATTCCACGTAGGGAGCAGCTTCGGCCACGATCGCAGCCCGCCCTGCCCGACAGCCTGCCCTACGGATTCCGGACTTGCCCGGCCAGCCCCCACAATCACGTAAGCCAACTCCTTATCATACAAATAATAAACCAAAAAACCAAACTCACTACCATTGACTTGACTGCGAATCATTGCAACGCCCGTTAGGTTTCCAAGGATGTAAACCTTTACAGAAGCCGACTGCTTCATCTTTCTTCTGTTGAGCAACTGGTGGGTTTGAACCACTGACCTTCTGATTAGCAGCCCAATGTCTTGCCCACTGTACCACCAGGGCTCCTGTTTGCATTTAGTAAGTCCACAGCATACATCTGCTGACTTCACCAGCACAGGCCACAGCAGAGAAGCCTCAGAACCTTGGCTTTTCTGTCAAATCCCACCAGTGTTTTGCTGTTAGCCGCCTCAGTTTACAGCTGTCATAGCTGTAAAACTCCCACGCTTGGCAGGGTGTCTGTCAGGGTTAGAAAAACAACCACCACAATAAATCTCAAACGGGACACAGGAAATGCTGAGGACTGCCAGGGCACAGCAAATCCCACTGGGTCCGAGTGTCCCCGTCCCACCAACTACTCCTCCCTCCGCTCCTGGGCGCCTGTTTGACGCACAGGAACTGCCAGTTGAGGGCAGGAAGGGTAACTCTCAGGAGGCTGACAAGCACAGGGTCATGACTGGCTTTTCAACTTTCTTACAATTTAAGGCAGTGGGGGACGGTGAAAAGGAGCTCAGGTTGTGTAGTGCCTAAGGTATCTGACTGCTAACCAGAATGCTGGCGGTTCAAACCCACCAGCCACTCCTCCGAAAGAAGACTGGGCAATGCACTTCTGTAGAGATACCGCCTCGGAAACGCAAGGAGGGGTCACTATTGAGTTGGATCCAACTCAGTGGCAGTGAGAGTTTGGTTTAGTTTCTCAGGGGCAGTGAATTACTGAACACGGCCTTTCCAGCCACGGTCTTTAACTCCCACCAAATGACTGGGTGGGACTATGCCAACGTGAGGTGCTTGTGGCCCACCACTAGGATCGGGCAGCTTGTTAGTGATGTAAATATGGTACATGGTGCCCTTGTGGGGGTGGGACCACAGAAATAAGGTGTGTGGAGCCCTGGCGTGGGGACTGGGCAATTTTGCATTCAGCTAGGCTTGAGATAGGTCATCCCAGAGGTGGGAGGGGGAGATCACACTACCATCAGGGGAGAGAAGCAGGGGTGGGGTACGTCTCTGGACCAGGCTCCCTGTGCTGAGATGGTAGAGAGACGGAGGCAGCAGCGGCAGCAGACTTGAGAGACAGACACAAGGGAGCGCTGGGCTGCCGGCCCACAGAGCGGGAAAGCTGAGTGCCCTTGGGCAGGAGGCTTCCTGGTGGAGTGGGGTGCAGGTAGGTGCACCTCTCAGCAGAGCTGAAGGAGCTGTGTACCACTTGCCAGAGCAGGGCAGAGGCCAGCGGCCAGGGAGGCATGCCTGCAGGCACGGCTGTGGGGAAACCATCCTGGCGGAAGAACTGTATTCTGAGCATTCCTGTTATGTCCCTAATAAACCCCACAATAGTGAGGACTGTCTGTGAGTTCTGTGTGAGCACTGTGCCAAATTACTAAACCCAGCAGAGAAGTGGAGAGGGCCGAGGGAGGGGCGGCTGGTGCCGGTACAAAGGTTGGAGGGTGGCAGCAGGTCTGACTCTGTGCTTGTGGGCCTCAGCCTCGGCCGCTGGGCTGCGGCTGCTGCTGCTGGGGGCTGCGTGTCCCGTCTGTGAGGTCAGAGGAGGTCGGAGCACATGCTCTCCTCCCCTCTTTGCAGGCAGCTTCGGAGGCACTCCTAAGAGCCAGTGATCTCCAATACCTGGGACACAATTCCACATCAACTACCACCTGCACCAGAAGACAACAGAACACACCGTCCCCCGCTTTCTCCTCTCTTCCGTCATGTCACGTGCAATGTATTAACTCAGAGACCACGGCTCAGCTCTGAACTTCTCTTAAACCCAAGATCGCACACTTCAACCCAGAGAGAGCTGCTTACCACTGCGTCCAAGAACTCAACGTGTCTCTGCAGGTCGGGTTTCGTGTCACAGAACTGCCGGAAGAGAAGTCTTCCTATTGGCTGCTTGTCACAAAGACTGTGATAATCCTTTTCTGGGTGAAGAGAGGGGACAAGAAGCAGACGACCGTTACAGTTCACACAGGCTTTTCTCACCCTTACTATTTCCACGTGATACACTAAGTCACCTGTTGGATTTGCAGTTTTTACTCAACTGCTGGTTCAGAACGGGTTATCATGAGCGTCTCAAACGCCCAGCCACAGGCAGAGAGAGCTGAAAGAAATGGTGGTTCAAGATGAGGGAAGTGTGACTGGCAACGGCCCTGCTCTCTCAGAGGAAATACAGTGGGGAGCTGCAGTCCTTCTGGACGGAGCAGCCCAGAGCCCAGAGCCTGACACGGGGCAGACAGAGAGAGGGGCGGGAACACAGTCCACCACACGCCCACCCTCTGCACTCCACACGTTGCCTGTCTGTGAAACACTCTGAGAAATATGCCAAATCAACTCTAAAGCTAGCTCTACTTTGCCACTCCTCTACACTTAAGGGAAGTTACAGCCATCATACAGGATGTTGCTGTTAGGGGCCGTTGAGTCCGCTCCGACTAACTCACAGTGACCCTCCTTACCGTAGAACGAAACACACCCGGTCCTGCACCAGCCTCACAATCCGTGCTATACCTGAGCCCATCGTTGCAGACACTGTGTCTGTCCATCTCGTTGAGGGCCTTCCCCTTCTTCAGTGACCCTCCACCTTACCAAGCATGACATCCTTCTCCAGGGAATGGTCCCTTCTGACCACGTGACCAAAGTAGGGGAGACGAAGTCTGGCCATCGTACATACTCAGTGGTTTTCTGAACTGCTCTTGTTGTGTTTGTGCCTTTTCTCTGCCCTAGGAGAACATGGTGCCATGTCCCTCACCCCAGACACTGAGACTGTCGTGAGAGCCGACCAACCAGTCAGTTGCACTGCCATGGAGTCGACTTAGTGCTGATGACCCGTGCGTCAAGGCAGAGCTGCCCTCTAACGGTGATCAAGGGCCGTGGTCTTACGGAAAGGCCCCTAGACAGCACGGCTTCTGCTCCACTGCTCACCTAAAGCGGGGCAGTGCACACCCAGCCCATGGCACCGCAGAAGACGGGCCTGGCGATCTGCTCTCACTAAGATTATAACCCAGAGAACCCCTGCAGCAAGTCCACTCCACGCACACGGAGTCCCCGTGAGGCAGCATCGACTCGGGATCAAATAGCAACAATCCTACCGACACACACTGCCAAGCCTTTCCTCCTCAGTGCTGCTGTCTGGATTCAAATCGACCGCCTTGCAGTTGGTGCTCAAGCACAAACAAGGCACTGATATTTGGTCAAACTGTCAAGAAGGACATGAAACAAACTGAACACTCAAGCTGGTTAATTTCAACTTCAGCAAGAAAATCCCTTGTTCTCTTAGCAGGGGCTTTCAACTCGAGAGGAACGTCACTATTTTTAGGAACCCGGAGAATGAACCTAATGCTGAAGAAATAAAGTACGACTCATGAGAGGTAGGGAGCTCTGGTGGTGTAGTGTCTAAGGCACTTGGCTGCTAACCAGAAGGCTGGCGGTTCAAACACACCAGCCACTTGTCAGAAGGAAGGTTGGGCAATCTACTTCCTTAGTGATACTGCCTCAGAAACCCAAGGACTCGCTATGAGTCGTGTCCGACCCGACGGCACATAACAACAACAGCAACATGAGAGGTAAGCAAACCATAACAAACTCTGCACTTAAAGGGCTCATTAGTGCCACAGTAATTCTAGGAACCTAACAGCCCCTCTCTGAATTATTAAGTCTACCCATGGAAAAGAACCACTGCCATGGAGTTGATTCTAACTCACAGCGCCCCTAGAGGACAGAGTGGAACTGCCCACAGGGTCTCCAAGGCTGTCAGTCTTCACAGAAGCAAAGGCCAAACCACACCCACTGCCTGGAGTCCATTCCGACCCACAGCGCCCCTAGAGGACAGAGTGGAACTGCCCACAGGGTCTCCCAGGCTGTCAGTCTTCAGGGAAGCAAAGCCCAAACCACACCCACTGCCTGGAATCCATTCCGACTCACACACCGCTACAGGGTGGACTCAATTCAGACTCACGTGCCTCTAGAGGACAGACTGGAACTGCCCCATCAGGTTTCCAAGTCTGTACATATATATATGTATATATATATATACACATATATATACATATATATATATATATTTTTTTTTATTGTGATTTGGGTGAAAGTTAACAGAGCAAATTCATTTGCCATATAGTAGTGCATACACTTTTTGTCTCCTGACATTGACTGCAATTCCCCACAGAGTAACAGCTCCCCTCCCACCTCCTCCCTTAGTCACCTCTTCTCTATGTCCTTCCTTCCCTCATACTCCGCCCCTCAAGCTGTCTCCCTGTGCAAACACTGCCCTTCTGTTCTCCCATGATTGATCCCTCCAGGGAGTGTATCTCCCTGATGTAAATGTTCAGCCCATATGCCTGTCTGTTGTTTGGCTGGGAGCCACAGGAATGAATTTAGTTTCAGACCTGAAGTGTAACTAGGGCCCAGAACCTTAGAGGTCTCACCAGCCTCTATCAGACAAGCACACCTGGTCTTTATGATTTTGAGTTTTATTCCACATTGTTCTCCCTCTCCATCAAGGATCTCCTACATAGATCCCCCTCTGAGTGATTGGCAGTGGCAGCCGGGCACCATCTAGTTCTTCTGGTCTCATGGTCGTACAGGCTGAGGATCGCACAGTCCACTAGTCCCTTGGACTAATTGTTTCCATGAGTCTTTGGTTTTCCTCATTCTTCTTTGCTCTGGACAAGGAGAGACCCATCATTGCAGCTAGATGGCCACTTGCAAGCTATTAAGACCCCAGTTGCTACTCACCAAAGTAGGATGTAGTCAATGTTTTTGTGTAGTATTATGCCAAGTGAGCTTGGTATCTGCTGCGACCATGGTCCCAGGCCCACAGGTGCAACTACTCGCTCCCCTCAGGGTATCTGGCTGTAGCCGAGCAGCCACCACAACCTGTTCCCAAGGCTGTATGTACATCTTTACAGAAGCTGATTGTCCATTTTTCTCCCACAGAGTGACGGGTGGGCTAGAACCACCGATCTTTTGGTTGGCAGCCGAATGCATCACCACAGCACCAGCAGAGACAAGGATAGAATCATTTTTGGTTGCCAGTGTACAACTACTTGTTTAAACAAACATGAGTCACAGGTTTACAAAAATTCTACCACTTCTTAGTCCCATTTGGCTATTTGGTATTTTATTTTAGGGCTACTCATTAGCCACATTTGAAAAGACAAGCAATGCAAGCCAGTCAAAAAATTTTGCTTTGGAAAAGTTGAAAGTGTTCACAGTTTCCTCCCATAGTCAAAGGTTTAGAAAGATTGTGAGCATCCAGATGAAGGGGGCAGACTGGGCAGACGTCTGGCCCCTTTCTCACTGCAGATTCCTGCTGGAATGCTGGGAACGAAAACAGAACCTGAGCACTAACAGCAAGAAAGAAACCCTGCCTCTGGCAGTGAGTCATGGGCACCCTCGGAGCTGGCGTGCTGGGACGACAGGGGAGACAAAGAGCTAACAGGCCGACTGTCACAGGTACCACACAAGCCTGCAGAGAGAAGCAGCCGACCATGCCGGTCACCAGAGCAGCCTGAGCAGCAAGGCTGGCCACCAGGTTCTCCTTCAGGCTGAGGGCCGCTTTGAGGACAGAGGGTGTTCGCCCAGGGAAATCGTGGGGAAGCGCCTCGGGCTCTTGCACGGACTCCAACACCTCCACCCGCTCCATCGCACCATCCAGACATCGCCTCATCGCACACCACCCCCCAGAACCCCATTCAGGAGAGAGGACACCTGGGAAGGCTGAGTGGGGTGGGCCCAAGAGAAGCCATGGTGGCCGCCCACCCAACAAACACGGTCCTTAGTATAGAGATGAATCTATACTAAGCTCAGAGCTCCAGGCATTTGAGGAAAAGCCACAGCTGAGAAGGGACCAAGAACAACTGAAAAACGGAATGAGGAGAAAGAGAGAGATTCAAGAAACAGAATCGGGATCCTTAAAAACCCTGACTACCACGCTCTGAGAGACTGCAAGAGACTGCTGTGGCCTACCCAAGAACAGTCCACTTGGACAACAAACAACACGGAGTGGGAGCGCCTCCCAGCAGGAGGACAGGAGAGGCCTGCCTCGAGCCCGCTGCTGATCTGGGGTAAGCGGGAGGAAGAACTCTCTGGATATGACCAGCGCAAAGCAAACAACGCAAAGATGGAAAACTGCAGAGAAATCCTGGCGCGTAAAAGGCAGGTCCACCAAGTGAAATATCGCCCTACGGGAGTCTCAGAAGTGAAGGCCAGAGAAAACGGGGAGAGGGAGACACACACTCATGTGCACATGCACACACGTGCACATGCACACACACACAAACATGCATGCATGCATGCACATGTGCACACACATGCATCCGTATATGCACACACGACACATGCGCATACACACACGTGCATGCACACGTGCACACACATGCACAGTGCACACGTGCACACACATGCATGCACACTTACACACACACATGCGTGTGCACAGCATACCATCTTCCCAGGCTACAGACCAAAAGGCTCCACTGAGTGGTCAACATAACTCATGAAGACAGACCCCCGTCTAGAGACTGCTGGTGACATGTCCCAACACCAAGGAGGAACAAGAAATCCCAAAGTCCTCTGAGAAAGAAAGAGAAAGTTAGCTACCAAAGGTTATGCATCGGAGGGATGGCCTTATTAGCGAAGCCAGGGGAGGAGAGCCGATGTTCCCCGAGTCTGGGGACGGGTGGGGTGGCTGAGAGAATCTCATTCAGTTACATGACTATAACGAGAAGGCAAAAAAGGACAGAGGCAAATGGAGTGCAAAGCAAGACTGATCAGATTTTCAGAAGCCTGGGTGCCGCCCGGCAGAGCCTGTCGACCCTGAAAGCAAAGGGGCAAAGCAAGAATGACTGGTGACACCTCGACGTGACACCGAAACACCAGGCCCACTGCTGTCGAGTCAATTCCAACCAGCGACCCCACAGGGTTT